AAATTACGATCAATTTTCAATTGAATATTTTCAACCTCGGATGGGGATGTTTTTGTTGCATAATATTAGAATTTACCTATACAGTCTCCCCACTCTGTATTGCGGAAGCGGCCATCACCGCATAGGCCTTCGTAACAAACTGGAGAAAATAAAATACGAATTAGAAATATTCTGTAACTAAGTCATTCACGACAATTTGATAAGACATACATCGTCATGCCGCATAATTGGCGATCGATAGTTTTAGTCACATCTGATTGGTAATATATTGAATAAGGAAAAGATGTATGATGTGAAACAATCTATTTAGATCATGGCATCTTCGATATAGAATTTTTCCTACAAGGTATATATATATATATATATGCGTTGCAGCGGGTGCTTCAAGTCACACGAAAGATTTCTGAGAATAATTATAGTCCAGGTTGAGGTTTGAGATTGATTAATTAACGACTGAATTTGAAGTATGAATAATGCTCTCCAACACACGATTTATTGAGCTCGGCTGAAACAAACTCAATTCGAAATTTTGTGCTTTTTTGTTAATATTTTAATTCCGCATACAGAGTCTACATCGAATTATATAATTAATGCAACAAAGAAACTGTTGCCACTTAACAAGAACCTCTTCATGTTAAAGGAAGAGTAAAATTTCTTTAATTTTGAAATGTTTTCATCAGAGTTAATATATACATTAACACGAAACAGTGGCCCAAGGGCAACAATTCGAGCTCAAACGTTTATTTGAATTCGTTAACTACCTATTATACTGGATCTATGCGGGGTATCGTCTGTGATAGAGCTAAGTAGCTGTGTAGTAGCGTTTGCCGACGGGTCTAACACACCGATCATCACGATAGAGTGGCTTCGAATAAGGTTTGGCCTTTGTAGTAATAAATAAATATCATTAGGTAATTCCAAATGTAAATAGAGAGGGAATGATTTATTGTTCCGTCCACCAAAAAAATACGATCAATAATAAAATAGAAACAGCAATAAAATGGTTTTAGTGTGGATAGGAGGGGGCGATAAGACCATACCGTCATAGATGTCAGCTCCCACCATATGCGCTGATGTAATTAAGATTCACAATTGAAGATGGCATTGGCAAGCTTCTATAACGAAATTGGGAAATTCTGAAGTAAATTCAATGTGATACATATGTTTTTTCAAAAAAGGGGGCAAAGGAACTGATTAAAAAATGACATTAAAATTAAAATACGAAAAAAATTAAAACACGAATCATCACAAAGCATTAGGCTATGTAATGCACCGAAAAATTATTTCTGTTCAAGTTACCCCACTACATTGGAACAATTTTCTGGTTTATAATTATTATCTGGTATAAATTAAAATAAAAATGGTTCATGTGCAATTGATTTTATGCCAATTTCAAAGAGATGCCGGAAAGATGCCATTTTCAAATATAATGCGGCCCACGAAACAAGTTTTTAATTTAGTTTAATCCGGTGGGTGCGAGAATTTCTATCCCTTTACAATGCAAGCCCTGTACCTGAGTTCAATTTAATATTAAAGTATATGACGTCACAATGCCCTACAGCTAACCCGTGATAATCGAGCCAATCATGTCATAAGATCAGTAGCCAAAATTGTCTGTCTGCAGCTATACTAGGATGTCTATGTTAAATGAAGGTGCGGCCCGCGATTTCACCCAGTCATTTGTATCTGGCCCTCCTGTAATAACGGTTGGGCTATAGGCCATTACTCAGACTGTTTGTATTCGCATCAACACAATTCGTCATATTTTATATTTAGAACATGGTCATATGTGACATCACGTGATGTTTTGGTCTATTAACTTTGACGTCAATCTTTATCTTCAATTCTACCGTTGCGTGAACGACTTGTTCCGTATTTTAGATCATTTCTTAAAATCTGATGTACTACCTGAATATTTCCATCCGATCAAATCCTCTTTCTGTTTTAAATATTTTCAAAAATGATTCTGTTTCACAAGATCAACAACTACTGTTACTCTGCCCTATTATATAGTCGACGGCAAAACTAGGTAATCGCAATGACACTAAATGTTAACTTGTGAGTTGTCAGAAATTAACAACTGTCCTTGGACTATTCGCTAGTTGTAAACTTGTAGATTTATTTTGCCCAATGTTAGTAACACGTTGCCCAGTATGTATATTCAAATTGTTTTGTTTTGCTAAAATTTTTGTACAACAGGACTGCATCTGTATATTTTGCATTTATTACAATCGACTTAACTAGCAAGTTTTTTAGCGGCTCAAGTAAGCTAAAATAAAGCAGACATTAATGCTCGCATTCATAGTGAAACATCCATCATCAAAGCTGGCTTAACCATGCATGAACAGATTTAACAAAACCTCCTTGTGTTCAAAACTGACAATGCGCAGTAGACCGTGGAGAATGTGTGGAGACCGTTGAGAATGTTTGGCCTTTATCACAGTTTAGTTAGCAGTTGTATAACAGCAGGATGCTTATGGAAAATGATTCTGAATAAATTATTTTATATTAGAAGTGATTTACGAAGCAGAATTTTAATATTCATTCAAATCTACACTAACATTTAGCTATGGCGAACATTTGCAGTTAAATATTGAAGTTTTGAAAGCCGAGTATGCTCAATATTAAGTGAGTATCTTTTCGATGTTATTTTATCTAAGAAATAAATTTGGCGCTTCATAAGTATGTCTATGGAAGTAACTAATTAGGTCGCCTATACTTAACATGAAGTTGTGTAAAGCGTGGGACCGCAAATAGTGGGTCTCAACACAACCTTCCACACTGGGTCGCAAAACTATTTAAACTTGACATAAATAATAAGCATCGCGTCCGTGTTCTGTGTTCATGAACTACAGATTTATAAACCTCTAATTATAATTATTACGAATATTTGTTTGCATACTTATTAGCCTATCACGTATTCAATTGCATTGTTCCATAGCAATGTGGGGTCAGCAGCAGCTGTGTGGATCTACTGGGAACGTAGGTTTTTATCAACTCTAAAGTCAGTCAGTTTAAAATAAGGGCTATTTTAACAGTAATGTTTAACATAAATATCAGGGAGTCACTTCGCGTAAAAACGTTAGAAAAAGTATAAAGCATAGGGCAGCATAATTGGGGCTGGATTTAGACGACGATTTTGATTGGATATTAGTTGAAAATTGATTGTCAAGGCCTTCGAGGTTTGACGCACGACGTTTTACGCATTAAACCTCGAATTGATATGTGTGTTCTAAACACAGAGTCTGCAATTATCATTAGGCGGAATAAATGCAATTATTTACTCTTGTTTTATATAATTTTGTGCAAGAAAATGGCTACTGGCAATAGTAGTTTTAAAATTGTTATTCGATTTCCACAAAATTATGTTCATCTCAATGTTTAGGTCGCGAGAAATTAAAATAATATTTTAGGGTCGCTTCAAAAAGTAATTGCGGACCCTAGTATAAAGGGACGGGGGCCTATGGGCAGGGGGTGTATTCACTTGGCTAACACAGACAGTCCCTAAACCTTTAATTGAAATAAAATTTGGAAGATCGGAATAAAATTATAGCGTAACCAAAAACTGATACACACAAATTCAAGTACTATCCAAGACTGTTGAATAATTATACCAGTGTTGAACCAGTGTTATAGGTTATTCCTCAAAATCCTAAATCCTAACCGATAACTGTCTTAATATTTTTATCTGTATGTGTATTGCATATACACATTAGTTCTTCGTTGAAAATATTTTTAGGCATGCGCAACGCGTTGTTTTATAAATATAAAACGCGATGAGTTTCAATGCTAATTAATGAGTTGTCTCAAACTTTTGAATTGATTTGCTGTGTGCTAAATAAATAAAAGCTATTTCAATCAATAGAGAAATTATGTCCATATATGCGATTTTTAAGCTATATCTAGTAGTAATTAACAGGAAAAATCATGAAGTATTTTTGAACCCAAGGTTTGAATTCCCAACTATCCGTTTGGTGACATTATTTTCTGTTCACTCTTCTAGTTTTTGGCATGGTCCATCCATAGTTCCTATCGTGGTTGAAATCATTTAATAATTCTTCTCGTGGGTATTAGGCGGCCAACTAACTCGGTATTAGTTTTGTACCGTCCCATGAGAGCTAACATGAAGCTCGATGACATAATAGCAAACGATGCAGGGATTTACACATCTTTCGACGCGAAATGGCTAATGATATGTCACCAAGCATGCGGAGTTAAAAATCTGGGAAATTTATATTAAATACCTAATCTGGTTTGACGTTTCTAAATTTACGGAACGGTCGGTACGTTTTTTTTTGCAAAATATAGAATTGAAACGATACGTTAAGTGCAAAGATAGCATATTACACCATAACCCAAAGACAACGACTTTTCGAATTTAACGTTTTTTTCTGATAGCAAGTGCAGTGGGGAAATCTTGCACAATTCACGATTGAGTTGGAGACGCGCGAGTTCGGTGTCCAAGCAGAGCGGCGCAGGTCACGTGGTACCGGATATTTGAATAGTAAAATGCCATTGGAATATTTTGATATTCGAAAATTTTGCCCAGCCCTAGTTGTTACGTGTGTTGTTGTTACGATGACTTTTAAATATTTATTTTAAATACGCGCTTAAGGTTTTTTGCGTTGTTTATGTGCGGCTCTTCATAACTTTGAGGTTTGAAACGCGAGTGTCAAATGCAATGAGAAAGTTTGGGCTTTATCACAATTTTGTCAGCAATTGTATGACAGCAAGGTGTTTCTGCAAAATGATTCTAGGTGAAATGTTTAATATTGAGAGAAATTTACAAAGCAGAAATCTAATATTCATTCAATCTAATTTGGGTTTTAGGACTCTATTATGAACCGGAAAAAATCGAATTCTAAAATTATTTCCAAATATTCCATAAATAGTAGTCTCTTTTCACGGCTCAAGACAAAAGAATACTGTTCTATAAGAAGTGACACTATCTAAGATTGTTTACCTAATAAATATGTTACTTTCAAACTCAAATATTTTATAGGTATTCAAGTTTAATTCAAACTATAATTTTTATTATTCGTATATTCATGAGCAAAAGCAAATTTCAGCGAATAAATTGAATATAATTGCTTGGTATTGGAAAGGAAACACACCTGCTAGTTACACCATGAAATTGACTGAAGGTTTGATTACATTATAAATTCATTTACGTATAATTTAGGAAATAAGAACTCATCTGCAGAACTTAGGTCATAAATATTGTATTTCATTTTGTACTATTCAATTGCCTAAATATTTTTCTGTACTATGGCGTGTAGAATCAAAATTTTGTATTATTTGTCGAATTCATTTGGTTATACCTTGTACGATAGACCATATAGTGAATCCATATCAGAAAATATTTTCCCATCTTATTATCATTTGAAATGAATATAACTACGCCAAGTTATTTGTAAGAAACCAAGTAATTTGTAATAAAGTAACTTGACAATATAGTTAAATTAAGTTATATATTTTAGGTGAAAAAATTCTGCTTGCGGCCTCAGATGCACTACTGGGAATTTCTCTGCTTGTTTTGTTCTTCTTTGAGCTTTTTCGAAGTCTGGGAATATTAATCGCCAGTCAATTTTTTTTACTGGTTGGGTCAATTACATTCACCGTATTTGACTGTAAAGTTAACATTAGAAAAAATACTCCTGATGAACACGCGAAAGATCATACAAAGCGACGCAGTAGCAAATGGGAACGCGGATTAAATTTTGTAAAATTGATGGGACTGATTTTACCAGCTTCAGTACCTTGGACTTTTCCAGAGCTAGTGTCAGACAAGCTAGCGTATTGTTCGCTTTATGTATCAGTAGTGACTTTTATTCTGACATGGAAAATTAGCTTCAGACTCACAAAATTGTTAGGCAATAACGCCGAATGGAGGTTCTCAGAGATAGCATTTCCTCGTCAAAATTCAATGCATATAACACTTCACTATGCGTTATTAATATTCTCTTTCGGAATTTTACTATTATTTTTTACTTTCATCATTTGTAATATTTCCAATCCCGATACTTTTGATTTAGTAATATATTGGCAAACTTTCTCGCTTGCTTGGTTAGGTGATATTGTATGTATGATTATTATGGCTACTCTTAGTCTAATCAGATTTATTCTTATATACCGAAAAAGCATACAAGAGGTCGAGGAGGTCGTAGAAACAGAACAAAGGAAAATGTCACTTCTCAAACTTTAACCCACAACATTGATACTAAAAGCTTCCCCGATGATATACATTCCGGTCCAGATGTGTCATACCAACAAGGAAATCTCGCTATATCCAAAATGACAAAACCTGATACTTTCGCTCTGAGAAGGGTTTCCTTGAGTGTCATTGAATCGCAGGCTCGCACCAACCGAACCCGTACATCCATTCCAAATTACACAGAATCGCAGGACATAGGTGGTTTGTAATTAAATAACCAACAGACACTTCCACAATCAAAGGACGACTCGATCTCGCTTTTTTCAACACCATGTTCCCACCTCCACATTCCCTATTCGTATTCATCCAGTGTCCCCAATCTTTGGTCTGTCTGCAACCGATTTAGCACATCAATACCCAATGACAGTTTGTCTGTATCATTGGTATTGAGTCATTTGCCATTTAATAGTCAACAGGCATCTCTCACAATCTCGAATTTTTCAACCGCATCACTCCGCGCTGACCTCATGTCATTAAACCACAGTTTACCGAATTCATGTGCAAATTCTCGATCTCCAACAACCGATGACAGCGAAGCACGTTCAGGCTCCAACATTTTGTCAAATCATGATATTGGTGAGGTCGTTGCTTGGTCCACCAGATGGCATCCGAGCAGTATTTTGGTTCCAAGCGAGGGGTTAAACAATACAGATATACAAACCATGAGTGCTATGTTTCATCAACCAGATTCCTCATATTCCTCTAGTGACCCGGAACTTTGGTCTGTATCAGACCTTATTAGCTCATCGATACCAGGTCCGATTTCGTCTCAGTCACTGAATGCCAATTTGTGTAGTTTGCCAATGAACAATCAACAGTTCAAGCGAAACAATCTCGAATTTTTCAACGCCATCCGTGCGCTCTGAAAATATGTCATCAAACAATAGTTTACCGAGTTCAGATGCGAATTCTCAATCTCGGACAACCGATGACAGCGGAGCAAGTTCAGGCTCCAACATTTCTTCAAATCCTGATAGCGTTCAGGTCGATGCTTGGTCGGGTACTATGTCGTCATCAGATCATGGCGGTGGTAGTTCAGCAGGTTATTCATCACTTACCGATGCAGATGCTAACCAATAGTTCATTCATTATGAATATTTTGTGTTTATTGTTTGATTTCCTTGTTTCATAGAATGTCATTTTGCCAAATTTGCATTATTCTATTTTCCTCCCATTTTTGGGTTTTCAGTGACTTTCAGTCGCATATTTTTAATGTTTGACGCTTTAAGAAAACATCATGCATTTTATTTATGTTCTTGACTATCATATCTAATCATTTTGTTGTCTTGTAATTTTTATTGGTTTCGGTTGAATCGCGATTAATTGTACATATTCTGTAGAGATCATTTCTTTTGTATAAAGCCCCCGCCACTTATGCAAAAATGTGAGATTTGAAAAACACACCCCCGCCACGTTTTTCAAAAATAAATATCCAGTTGTGGTTAGTAATTATTCAAATTCACAACGCAATCTACATTGCTAACCCTAAAATAATTACAAAATTTCATATTTCGAGCATCGGAGGAGGGCTTAGTACAAAAGATTTCAACTATTTTATAAAACTGAATTTTACATGTTTCTTTATGGTTTGTGTTTTGTACTGCATTTTCTGTAAAGTATAGGACAACCTCACATAATTGGCTGTTTTCCAGGAACCAAACCCTTTCAATACCTATACAGAAGAGGCCACTCAGATATCCAATTTTGCGTCATACCCAATCCTAATCATAACTAGCAATTTATATGGCAGCGCAACGGCGATTCAGATTCCAAATGGCGATTATGATCATATACCCATTTCTATTCATAACCCGCTATTTATATCACATCCCAATAACACTTTACTGATGAGGGCATTTAAATAACGATTCTTACCTTATATCCATCCCCAGTCCTAACCCGCTTTATATATCGCAGCCCAATATCCCTCTACTAAGGGGCCATTTAAATAGCGAAAGTGACTATATATCCTTTTGAATGCTACGATACACAGTCGAAGTCAAAAATTTTTACGCCACATGACCATATGTTATAAGTTCATAATATAAATTTTAAATCATTTCATCAGACCTAAGTTTCGTTCAGTACGTAGTAGTATTTTTGTACTGAATAATAAACTGAATTTTGTTATGCATGACGGGATGTATCGCCACACGCGTTGGCGATCAGCCTGCAAAGTAATACGCTGCTACAAAAAAGGAAATTCGATTGGATGCACAAGTGATTTCAGCAAAGTAAAACAAAGTGGCTTTTTAATGGATTGTTTCCACAATAACAAACTCCATTTCCAAGCAACACCCCGACAACAATATCTCAAGCGAAATGCAAATATACTTATGGCATTGCAAACACGATTGACATGAATTTAAAGTACTCACTGACATTTCAACTAAAATCAGGTGTTTACTGATATATTCAAAAAAGAACAACCTATATTTTCTATTTAAATGTCCATCGATACCTAAATTGGAATTATAGTGTCTGTTACTGAGTTCATTATTCTTCATTTTTTAGATGCTTAGAATTAGTTTGTGTTGTATACCGTCTATACATTTCAATAAAACATTTGTAATGAAAATCCCCAATTTATCTTCTGTTTTTTTTATATACCGTGTTTCCCTGAAAATAAAAACAAGTCTGAAAATGAGACCTAGCAGTTTTTTTAATTTATAGGTAAATGGATATCTGTTTTCATATTTTTTTTTTTAAATATCCTAATCTTCTTCTTTATAATTTCGCTTTTGATAAATGAAAATAAAAGACATACCCCTAAAAATAGCCCTAGTGTTATTTTTCGAAAAAAAAATGGAAATGAAATCATGTGTTATTTTTGGGAACACGATAGATATTTGAATCCTAGGATAAATGTCCATTAATACAACTAAAATCCTCACGTGACAACGCCAGAATCACGCGTAGCCTGTATGTCTCATATATCAAAAAAATGAATTGTTTTCATTTAGCTTTATGGTGTTTAAGGGGGATTCTTGAAATATGTGCAAGTACTTGTAATTTGGATTATTTTTCCTAATTTTTGTAAATGATAGTATTCCGTTAAATTTGAGTTTCGTCAGTACTCTGAATAGTTTTATGTTCTGTTATTGTTTATATGTAAGTATGTTCAAATTTTTCAAAATTCAGTGTCTTTGTGCTTTGAAATTGCTTGTTTCATTTTAATAAATTGAAAAAAAAAACTCGTACTCGTATCGCACGTGATTCAAGTGTAGGCCCCCTACTAGTTTGCGTCTTTCAGAGATTGGTTAGTTAGTGTCTTTGCCGAAGAAACATCATGCGCAAAACACACAACTATTATTACCCTCCTTCTCATTTAACCTGCTGTGATATATAATGTACCCAAGCCCAAAGCATTTTACTGAATCCGATTTAACGATAAGAACTTAGCTTCCAATTATCATATCGCACTGTTCCCATATAGAAGGGGTGACCAAACTTATTACGACCGCTATCGACTAAAATAGCTCGTGATCGACTGATCGATAATAAGGTCATACATAAAAACGAATGATTACTGAATATGCAGATAACTGCACACACACATACAACAAGTTTCGCCGATTCCAATAAGCTCGGCTTGGGCGAATTCCTAATGAAATCGCCACAAAATAGGTATTTTTATGTTCCATTTCATTTGATTATTTAATTGTGATCGGAGTAAATGTTTCATCATTTATTTAAGATTTACCCAAATCGCACAGTTCAAATCTAAGACCTGCCCAATTTTTAGTCGTGAGTTTTGAAAATTTCTTAAAAAACCTTGCAATCGATATTATCTAAACAGCGATAAATAAATATTCTCAAACCATAAAAGTTACTTGACTGCTCAAACTGTCTAATTTACAATTCCCTCCGGGTCCGATTCTTCGTTCGCTTGGAATTTAAAAAAACAATGATAACATCGCTACCATTGCGAATAAAATTTATCCCACTTACTCCTCTTGAATTAAGACAATAGTTTTCGGCGCTTCTGAAGTATGTGTACCAATATGGAGGTAACCAATTTTGTTATGTTTTACATCAATTGTGCAAAGGGACCGAAACCTATGGACAGGGGGATATTCACTTGGCTAACACTGACAAACCCCGAGCTCGTAATAGAACTAAAACAAAGGATATCGGAATAAAATTATGGCCTAGTACGCATACTAAGTACCGGAGTACCTAATTTTCGCAGAAGTTATTGTAGGATCGTTTGTTAGTGAAGACACATGTTATTTGGTAAGTTCATATTTAAACCTTAGCAGCGGCGAAACTTGCATTTGTTCCGTAATAATATGCTCTATCGGTCTTGACCATACTCGAATGCTATATCCGTAAGTCGTATTTTGCGCATGAACAGTACTGTATTATATCTGTTTTAAAACACACAACATACGCTGCATGAAACTGGTCCAAGGCAATTGTTTGAGGTATGTTATCAAATTCACTCAACATCAGACGCGATCGATTACTCGAGACGTATAGTACTATAGAGCAGTAGTCTCCTTTCCGCGGACCGGCGATGGGCCGCGGCCCGGTGGTTGCCGACCACTGCTATGGAGTGTCCATAAGGCCTTGAAAAAATATGAAATTGCAAAAGGAACTTATCGATACCATATATTTTTCGCCCCGCACAGGTGTATTGAATTTGACAATTCTATGGTCGTTATTCATGTCCCATCATATCCATCAGCATCGACGTATTGACAAAATCATTCGACAAAAACAATACGGCGTGATAGTCAGCTTATTACGTAACCAGATTTTAACGTGGTAATTTTATTGTGTAGCTCAATTATTTTATTATTATAATACAAAGCACTTTGAAAAATATCATTTCGTGCTGGAAATATTCCACTCAAATGTGATGAAAATAAAAACACTTCACACTATTCTATTGTAGTAATATAGCACACACTAAACCACGTTCGTTTACCAGCTCGCTATATCTTCGACAAACTGACTCTTACCTAGCGAACAAACTGATGTTCCCTGCTCGATGTATTGAGAATATATAGTCTTTCTTCATCTGTTTGTTTAAATTGAATGAACTCACAAAGTTTACTTAAAACTGAAGCAGAAATCGCATAAAAAAATCCAGGCTAATGAAATATTGAGAATTAGAAATATGAATTTTCAATATGAGCAAACGTTTCTACATATTATCAAGCTTGAACATTGGGTAATCATTGGAAAAGTAATGTTTGATAGGTCTCTTTAGTTATTCAAAACAAATATCTTGGTTAATTTTATATTCAATAAAAATGACATTTGAAGCAGTTTTCTCAAAATTTTGACGTCGTTTAGCTAGCGCGAAAAATGATTTGGAATACTTTGCACGCAGTTTCATATCCTAAAATAATTTTAAATTGAAACAGTTCTTGCAAAACGTCTTATGTAGGAAACGACTAGCTATTGAGAACATTTTTGTTGGAAGTAGAAATTCCTAGAACGTTTTCAACAAATTCGTTAATAACCCCTCAAGTACGCGGTATTGATGGTTTTTTATCATTAATTGCTCTGCATTCTAATTATAGGTCAGCTACGGGGCATAGCCATTAATATTCATCTGGTGTTTCTGGACTATACACTGCTTTTCGTGAGCGTTCATTGAATATTGTCAATAAAACCAAGGACAAAAACGTTGAGCTTATTAGGTTCACGCGTGTATATTCAAAAATCCCAAATTTAAAAACTGCTTTCCATATTTTCTGATTTGTTATAAAAATAGGTAAATCGTTATCGTTTTGAACATTCATGGAGTTCAACTAAAATGGCGACTTCTTATTACATAATATAATGATTACCCTGTGTCATGGCACGGCATTCCACCTCAGAACAGAAATTGTATGACAGACATGACCGGAACATTCACGAATACTAATGTGTTAAACTTTTCCGTAGAAATCAGAAAGGCCTTCGATAAACATCGTTACATTCGAAAGATAATTTTTGCGCCAAAACATGAGGTCTCGCTATGTTCTTTTTCTAGAGAAATCAACATTTATCAAAAAAGCAAGCAACAGAGTGGTGGGTCTTTATTACATTAGGTCAGGCAACTCCAATAGATTTGGCGATGTTGGACAGCTTCTCAGTTGGAAATCTTCGTTTTCATTTATTAGGGTATTTTTAACATCTCTTGATATTGTTTTTAATTCTGTCAATTATACACAATCTGTGTATTTGTGTGAAGTTTTCGATTTAATACAAAAGCAACCCGAGCAAGCAACTAGAGAGGTTTTAGCCATTTAAGAATTTGTAGCATATAGGAACATGTTGTTGAACGTTGTTGATGTAGTTTAATGTTGTAGACACAGAATACAGAAGATTGTTAAGACATGACGACATCGAGAAACGAGACGACACTTATCAAGACGATTCGACTCCTACTACAAGACTCTTTTTATAAATTTTACCTGAAATAAGGAATTTATCCCTAAAAGGTATCCGAAACTCTCGCATGTGAGCCAGCCTGACACAACACCTAAATTTAATTTAGTATGAAGCAGGGTTGCATGGCATCATGCCGGCACTGTCATATCATGGAAATGTTATGAAAAACCCTATTTCCCAATGATCGCGATGGCATCGCTCAATTGAAAGTATCTAAGAACCTTTCCCCCTGACAATTTCTGGCTAACACGACCCGAATGCAAATCAAAAAGGTCATCAAACAATATTGTTGCAGCACATTTTATTATTTTATACTTAGTGAATTTTAAGCAAATTCATTTTCTCTGTTTGCATTGATTCTTTCTCTTTGCAAAACGCTGAGTGATCCATGGTCATCGACTCATCAGTCATTAATCTGAAAATGAAAAGCATTTCTATGAATGTGTCTGCTGTTATGATTTCAGATATTTATCTCCTGCGTCGCGGTGATTCATGACAAAAATGCAATTTGGACACTCAGTTCAGATTTAGTGTTGATTTTAACCAAAATATTTGGTTTCAACTTGAGTTCTGGTTGAGTGTTGAATATAAACAAAATAGGCTTGGCTCAATTTAGCTTGGGTCAAAAATTTCTTCCCAAACAAGAAGCAATAAATAAAAGACAACAATAATCTTAATGGTATTTGAGATTATGAACCAATGATGTAGCATAAAAGTGGTCCGCATGCTGCGAGCGATGGAGTCTCAATGACTTTTAGTTCTTTGTATCGAATGAGGGACGATGGTAATTGTAGGAATTGAAAGTTCTGTTTCATATTATTAGAAATTTACCCATATGCCAATGACAAAGGTTGTCTAGGCCGCAATAATTTTCATGATGACAGTCGCGATCGTCTTTACATTCTGCGTTAAAGACAAATTAAAAATATATTAAAACTGAGACATTTCCAACAATCAAGCAAACCAAATATCGCAGTGCAAAAATTGCGATTGACGGTGTTACCTATTTTCTAATTGGTATTATACTGAATATGGGAATAGTCGATCTTTAATTTAATTGAGACTCTAATAGTAGAATGTTGAGTAGCGTGCAATTTTCAGACAAGTGCATTGGTTTGTGTGATGGGATGTAAAATATATTAATATTGCACAATGAAATATTTTTGAACCAGAAAAAGTTGTTACAATGAAGTAAGATTTCTATTGAAACTTACAGTTTGGTATGGGGTTAAGGATTGATAAATAAATGACTGATTCTGGACATGAGTTTGAATAATGTCTCCAAAACACGAGGCAAAGCTGTGTGAGACCGTTTTGTTTATGATTCCATATTGTTGCTTGGAGATTATCTGAATTATTCTATGAATTCAGCTATTGAAACTTAATTTTTGTCAAACGATTTGAATCCTACCTAAGTAATTATAATTTAGCCAAACATGGCCCAGAATAACTCTAGCATACTTCGTAGTCCGTATGTGCCACCAAGTAATGTCAACATCGCAGCAGCCGACAGCATGATCGATACAAGAAACCTCCGCATATTGACTTATAAGTTTTGAATGTTCAAAGAACTTTTCTTAAAACTAGATGAAATATTGAATTAGAAAATAATATAACTCGAAGAATGTCGGAAGTCTGCTACAGTGGCTGCTCGAACAGATCTTTACTTGGAGCGGAACGTCTATGAAACGTCGTATAAAATACAGAAAGTTGTATACAAGAAATAAATTTGAAAAAAGTTGAAAATTTCAAAATTTGGAAATATTTTCTGCTAATTACGTCGATGCACAAGAAGGAATTCGAATTATTTTTTTTTTTCCAAATCTTCGATAAGCTACCTCTTACCGAGCGAACAAACTGATGTTCCCTGCTCATTGTCTTGAGAATATATAGCCTTTCTTCATATGTTTGATAAAATTAAATGAACTCACGGAGTTTATTTGGAACTGAAATAATATTGAAGAAACAACGATCGCATAATAAAAAGAAATATGAGGCAAATGAAATATTGAGATTTAGAAATATAAACCTTCAACACGAGCAAACGTTTCTACATCAAGCTCGAGCATTGGGTTATCATTGAAAAAGTGATGATTAATACGTGTCCTTAGTTATATAAAACAAATATTTTATTCAATTTTATTTTCCAACACAATGATATTTGAAGCAGTATTCGCAAAATTTTGAAGTACGTTTAGCTAGCGCGAAAGCTTTGCTCGCAATTTTGTTTCCTAAAACAATAATAAATTGAAGCAGTTCTTGCAAAACGTTTTATGCAGGAAAGTAGGAAACGACTAGCTAGTGACACGACTGAGCAGAATAAAATTGTCAAATTGTTCGACATACTTGACTAGTCCCCGAACTCGTAATAGAACTAAAATAATAAAAAAATTGAAATATAATTAGGTCCTAACCCTAACCTGGTACTCATACTACGTTCCGGTGTCCGCCATCTTGGTTCACATGTTAGCTTAGCGCCGAGAAAAGCGTCATTTTTTCATAACAATCACATGAAAAACACCACCGAGAACATGGACATCAACGACATAATAATCACAACAAAACGATCCATGTATACTTTTTGTGTCTAGTTTTAACAGATCACTTTGATTATCTTGTTATGCACTATTTATAAACGATATAAGTAAAATAACGGAAAACATGGGAAAGTGTGGTTGCTGATCTGAAACAATCTATACTGTATGTAGGTAGATTTTCGAATTAATACAAAAGCAACCCGAGTAAGCAACTAGAAAGATATTACGAGCTCTCGCATTTTATGAAAAAGCAGGTTCCATGGTATGATGCCGGCACTTTCAAATCGTGAAAACTTTAACAAAATCCCTCTGTCCCAATATACACGATGGCATAAAAAGTGTTCACACAACGGACATGCTCGTCCTAATTACACATAGCATTTATTACCGAAGCAAATGACGTGAGAGTATAATGAAAAAAAAATTAAACATATCGTATTGTAGGTGAATACTGACCAAACCAAAAATTAAATCATATTTCGCCATCGAAGTGTTAAATTGGGTATGAAAATAAATCAAGCATCTTCGTCATAAAATGGCCACGTATGCGACTAAAAGGCTAAAGCAACACTTATAATTTAATGAAAATTGGAAAACAAGCTACAGTTCATAGAAAACGATTAAATTCAACGTAAAATTGATTTATCTTCTTTTGGGGTTAAAACAATTTGTTTTGGATTAACAGAAATCAAATCAAACATTGAAACCGGGCAGAAACGTATTCAGAATTTCAACTTAATATTTTTAAAATACAAAAAAAGGAAATTAAACTAAACGGCCTTATTCCTATACGCATTTATGAGTAAATGCCTGAGACTATGCTTTGGGTGAATTTCTTACAAAGTACTTACTCATTACTTACACAACAAGCACTTACTTAAAATAAACATGGTTTAAAACATGCCGCACATTATTTCACACTGATTTTAATAATTTGTTTCCATAATATATATGGAGTTACAGCAAAGCCGACAACAAGGACCACATGCAGCGTTTTCCGTCTCCTTTTCATCCCAAATGACCTTCAAGATAACAAGCGCCTTCTTTGCAAATATGGTAAAAAGCACAGTCTCCATTTGTTCGACATTCTGCGATGACTAAAATTAAAAAGATATTAAAACTGAGACATTCACAACAATATGGTAAGCCAAATATCGTAGTGAAAAAATGTTGATCGACAGTTTTAGTTATTTCTGATTGGTATTATGCTGGTTATGGAATTAGTCGATCTTTTATTTAAAAGGTAGTATAATATTTAGTAACTTTTTAATTTCAGACAAATGCATTTGTTGTATGGTATGATACAATTTTGGTCCCCGCAACTAAACATCAAATTTCTCTGCAAGACTGAGCAAAGTAAAGTAGTCAAATACGTCAGTTTGACAGATTGTTCGTAACGAAAGAGTAATTTCCGACAAGAATACAGTTTCAACTTGAGTTATATTTGAGTGGTAAATATGGACAAATAAAGCTCGGCTTAATCTAGCTTGAGTCCAAAAATTCCCCTCAAACAAGAAGCAATAAAATAATACAACATTAAACTTGTTGGTGGTTGAGTTCATGAACCAATGATGTAGCCTAAAGTGGTCCACATGCTGCTAGCGATGGAGTCTCAGTGATATTTAGTTCTTTGTATCGAATAAGGGACGATGGTAATGTAGAAATTGAAATTTCTCTTTCATAATGTTATAAATTTACCTTCATTATAACAAACGCCTTCTTGGCAAATTTCGTCAGAAACACAGTCTTTATTTGTTTGACATCCTGCGTTGAATACAAATTAGAAATATATTAAAACTGAAACGTTCACAACAATCTGGTAAACCAAATATCGTAGTGCAAAAAATGTTGATCGACGGTTTTAGTTATTTCTGATTGGTATTATGCTGATTACGGAATTAGACCAGGGGTCACCAAACTACGGCCCGCGGGCCGGATCCGTTGTAGTTGTAGTCTCAATAGTAGTAATGAAGAATTAGTCTAGAAATAGCTGTAACAAAATAGGCTAAATTTCTCTACCGGTACGCAACGTTTTCTGCGAAAGATGCACTCGTGGCGCGTGCTTTCGACGAAACTATTTACGTTTCTTGTGCTATAATGAACGTCGAGTGTGCATTTTGTGCTAGCAGTCAAGTCACACTAACTTTTGTACTGCTTAAATGCGGATATTCATGTAGGTATGTTTCAAAAAAAAATATCCGATTTAAACAAAAACTGTGCCAGTGGATAGATCTGATTGAAAATAAGAAAACATTACCAAGTTTATAATAAACGGTCAGGAAATAACGGAGATATCGGAATTTTTGTACCGCCCGACAGGACAATTTTTTCCATGGGAAAATGATTGTATTACTTTTTTGATGAGAACTGTAATAAATATGAAAAAAGAACACACATCAATCACTAATCTTTCGATTTGCGTCATATCTATGGAATATTGAGACTATTTCAGGATTTTATTCTGGCAACGGTCTTGACACCGCCGAAATATCGTCGCAAATAAACGCTGGAGTTGTGCATGTTAGTTTGACAGTGGTTCACTGTGGGTAATAATTAGCGATGTTCTGATTGTACAAACTTCATAAAAATTGGTAAGTATCAAGTTAGAAAAGAAATACACACGTCCACATAAATTCTATTGATGTTCATAGACAATATCATTAATTTGCGCTACGTATAGCTTGAGCGTAATTTTTATATGCTCCGAATGTTGGGAAATTTATGCGCTAATGAAAAAAATCAAATACCAAATAATAGTTGTTTATTGTATCTAAATTATGTCAAAATTTCATGGAATTTCATGCTACAGCAGGTCCGTAGTGGTTTTTATGAGCGGTATTCCGACACGGCGTAACGGTACTTAGCAGACGTGATGCGTACATTTTTTGGCGCGAAAATGCGGATTTTGTAACATTCCAAATTCATGACTGCAACGTTTTGATAACAACTTAACTCAGGATAGTTGTCTAGATATAGAAATCTTGTATATTTGTTTTCCTGGGATGTTCTCGATCTATATTCTGCGATATAGATAGAACAGCGTTTCCCAACCTTTTTTGATCGCGGCCTATTTTCTCACCGGCGAAAATCTTTGCGGACTCAAGGTGCGTTTATTGCAACCGTACTCTGTCTGAAGAGCCATGAAACCAAACACACAAATCGGAAATTCGCCGCAATTACGCGTTCGTTATAAGAGCCGACTTTTTATTGTATAATGGCCTTTTCTGTCGCACAATATTCGGCGCTCCCGCAGTATGTACACCAATATGGCGGACACCTGGACGTAGTACGTATACCAGGCTAGGGATAGGCTCTAAACTCGAAATTGAACTAAAATAAGGAAAATCGGAATAAAATGATCGCCTAACCCTAGCCTGGTGCACATACTGCGGAAGCACCGAATATTCAATTCATGACAACGACGAGAATTTAAAATGACTTTCTATTTTAATTTAATTGTGTTCATGGTAAGGTAACCCGCGGTTGCTTCGACTTACGACAAGATTACTTTGTCAAAAGTAATCGCCGCTTATACGTAACTCGTTAAAAGAGCCGACTTTTCAATGATTTTTTCGATTACATAAAATATTCAATCCATGAACGATACAGGTATTTTTTAGATGGGTTGCTTTATTATTAATTTATTTGTAATCATTTTAACCTGCGGTTGTGTTGACGAAATAAAAGAAACACTACTCAGAAAATCCCATGACAATCCGTGTACACAAAAATGCGTGGTAAAGTGCCCGATTAAATTTTGTTTTGATTCGTATTTCTGTGAATTCAACAAATCTGAGCTGTTTATACAACACCTACGGCAGTACTTTACGTACCAATGTGTAGGCAGGAAAACAACGAATCTTGAGGGGAAATGCCCGTATACTACGGTAGCACCCAAAATTTTGCGATTTGCAATGTCCAAAAAAGCGTTTTTATTCGGTCGCGGACCATCATAAAACAAAACTATGGTGTTCTCCGTTTTATTTTTAGTCATTTGTATTGCCGCTTTCCAATTTGGAAAATTTGGGTGGCCATCATTGATACCTACCAAAAAAGAAAATTTTTCCTCGTTGTTCGAACTCACGAGAAACACCACTTAGGGATCTATTGGAGATATACAGACTCGTGATTTCGCCGGAAATCCGCAAGTTGTGAAATCCAATCGTTCGAACCCATCTGTTACCAAATTTTCGAATAGTAAATTGATATACTAATAGTTGAATATTCGAATATATGCCCAGCCCTACACAGTAACCAGTAATTATTGACTCGATTAATGGTATGTGAAAAGACTCACTTTTTATGTTTTATGTAAATTCTGACGTAAATCGTAACTTGGCTGATAGTTAAATTTCGCAAAAACGTTTGCGACCCGCAGTGAATTCTGTCTCGTTGCGGACTCATTCAAACGCTCCGCGGACTCATTTGAGACCGCGGACTCGGGTTGGGAAACACTGAGATAGAATTTAATATTCAAGTCATCAGAAATGTAGAATATACATTGTTGATTAAATTGAATGGATTTCCCAACTTTTGTGAATTTATGTATGTCATTGACAAAAATATTTGTCCGGCTCGTTTCAACACAGTTTGAGTCATACCCGGCCCGCGGTCAAAAAAATTTGGTTACCCCTGAATTAGACAATCGATCTTTAATTTAAAGGGTAGTCGAATATTCAGTCAATTTTTAATTTCAGACTTATGCGATAAATAAAATACAACAATAAACTTGTTGGTAGTTGAGTTTATGAATCATGAAAATGGTCCGCATGCTGCGATCGATGGAGTCTTAATGACCTTTAGTTCGTTGTATCCAATGAGGGATGTTAATTTCAGGGATTGAAATTTCTGTTTCATGATATCATGAAATTTACCTTCATAATAACAAACTCCTGCTTCGCAAAGTCTGCCATCATTACAGTCTTTATCTGTTGTACATTCTGCGGAAAAGAAAAATTGGAAAGATATTAAATCTGAGACATTCACAACAATCAGGCAAGCCTAATATCGTAGCACATAAAATGGTGATCGATAATTTCAGTTACATCTGACTTGTTATATTGAATATGGAAATGATGCTTTTGCTGTAGGGTGTGAAACTATATATTTAAAGCACGGCATCCTCGATATAGAAATTTTACTGAAAGGTATATGTGTTGCAGCAAGTCGTTTAGACGGGTGCTTCGGCTCGAATGAAATATTTTAACGAAACTTATAGTTCGGTTTGGTGTTTAAGATTGATAAACAAATGCCGCCTGATTCTGGACATGGGTATGAATATTGTCTCCAAAACACGCAACAAAGCTTTGTAACTCTGTTTTGTTTATGGACGGATTCTTTTGAAGAAAAGTTATCTGCATAATTCTATGGATTCAAGCGATGAGAAATGTAGAACTTCAAAATCTATGTCAAATAATTTAAAGTTTTACTAAATATATATACCAAAACAAACTTTCGTTCACACTCCATAGATCTTTTCGTCCGTATGTGCCATCCAGTAACATCAACATTACAGCAGCCGACAGCATGATCGATACAAGTAATATCCGCATATTGACTTATAAGTGTTAAAAAATTTTTCTCAAAACTAGATATACTGAATTCGAAAAAAAAATAACAAAATATAAAAAGAGAACCGTATTGTCGCATGTTGGAAAAAAAATTTGAACCTCCTTTCTCTTAGAGCAGCGTTTCCCAACCTTTTTTGGTCGCGGACTATTTCCTCATTGACGAAAACCTTCGCGGACTCACTCTGTGCGAAGAAGCAATAAAACCAAAAACAACAGAATTTTAACGAATTTCAAAATCGAAAATTTGCCGCAGTTTCACGTTCGTTAAAAGAGTCGACTTTTGTAGTGTATACTAGCCTTTTCTGTCGCACAATATTTAATCCATGACAACGACGAGAATCTAGAATGCCGTTCTATTTTAATTCGATTGCGTTCATGGTAACTCGCGGTTGCGTCGATTTACGATAAACTGAAAGCATTACTTCTTAAAAATGTCACGGTATTCTGCGAACATAATAATGTGAGAATATATTGCCCGATTATATTTAGTTTTGATACATATTTTTTGCGATCTTGCGAATTTGTTATCGCCGTTAGAAAAATCCTACTATCTGCTATAAATGTCCAGAAGGTACAACATGATTTAGTACTTATTAAAAATATATTTAAAGTACTCGTATATTAGTAAATCAGAAATACATATTCATCACCTTGCTTTATTATTAATTTAATTGTGATCATTTTAATCGGTGTTAACGAAATAAAAAAAATTCTATTCAGAAAATATCATAACAACCCGTGGACACAAAAAAGCGTGGTGCCCGATTATATTTTGTTTTGATTCGTATTTTTGTGAATTCAACAAATCTGAACGTACCAACGTGGAGGCAGCAAAGCAAATATTCCTAAGGGAAAATACCCTGGTACGTGTACTCCAGTAGCATCCTCAATTTTGCGATTTGCAAGGTCTAAAAAAAAGTTTGTAATCGGTCGGACAATCATAAAACAAAACTCATGGTGTTCTACGTTTTAATTTTTTTTCACTTTTTCAATTTAGAAAATTTGTGTTGCCACCATTGACAACTACCGGTAAAAAATTTATTCCCCGTTGTTCGAACTCGCGAGAAACATCACTTAGTTATCTATCGACGCGTGTTTTCGTCGGAAATCCGCAAGTGAGTTATGAAATCCAATCGTGCACCAGAAATTTTGCGATTTGCAATGTCTAAAAAAGCGTTTTTAATCGGTCGCGGACAATCATAAAACAAAACTTATGGTGTTTTCCGTTTTATTTTTAGTATTTTTTATTTTATTTTCCAATTTAGAAAATTTGTGTTGCCACCATTGACAACTACCGGTAAAAAATTTATTCTTCGTTGTTCGAACTCCCGAGAAACACCACCTAGTTATCTATTGGACGCGTGTTTTCGTCGGAAATCCGCAAGTGAGTTGTGAAATCCAATCGTTTGATTAAGCGACGCGCAAATGACCTGTCGCTTCTCCTATTACCAAATTTTCGAATAGTAAATTGCTATTCTAATAGTAAAATAGTTGAATATTCGAATATATTTCCAGTCCTACTCAGTAACCAGTAATTATTGAGTCGATTAATGTTATGCAAATAAACTTGCATTTTATGTTTTATGTAAATTCTAATATAAATCGTAACTTAGCTGATAGTTAAGTTTCGCAACAACATTTGCGGCCCGCAGAGAATTTTTTGCTCGTTGCGGACTCATTCAAACGCTTTGTGGACTCATTTGAGACCGCGGACTCGGAATGGGAAACACTGTCTTAGAGGTTCGTACTGAAGTACGAATAAAAATAAAACACATTTTACCTGAGTTTGGGTTGAAAATGTTTTAAATCTTCGATAAGCTACCTCTTACACAGCAAACAAACTGATGTTCTCTGCTATTTGTATTGAGAATATATAGTCTTTCTTCATATGTTTGTTTAAATTTAACAAACTCACGGAGTTTATTTAGAACTAAAATAATATTAAAGAAACAGCGATCACATAAATAAAATCTCCGTCAAATAAAAAATAAATAAAATTCGAAATATAAAACTTTTATATGAGCAAACGTTTTTACTACTATCAAGCTTAAACATTAGGTAATCATTGGAAAAATGATATATGATATGTGTCATTAGTTTTATAAAACAAATATCTTGTTTAATTTTATTTTTCAAAACAATGATATTTGAAGCAGTTTTCGCAAAACTTTGACGTGCGTTTAACTAGTGATTAGAAATATTTTGCACTCAATTTTATATCCTAAAATAATTATAAATAGAAGCAGTTCTTGCAAAACATCTTATTCAGGAAAGTAGGAAACGACTAGCTCTGTACTTCCCAAAGTGGGGTCCGCGGACCTTTTGGAGTCCTTGAAGCTCTTTTGGCGGGTTCGCGAAAAAAATCTGTCATATGTCTCATAGCTTGATAGTACAAAAATTAAGTGCTGAAATTTGCAAATGCACATTTTTCGGCTTTTGCTGCTACAAAATCACTGCTAGAGACACTGATTTGTCACTTTCTGTTTCGAACATGCTTCATCACTGAGATGTCATAGGGCTATGAGCCTGTGATATCGCAGAGGGAGTTGCTGCCCTTACAAGCTTACGAATTGTAGATGTGTAGCTGACGCTGTTTTTTGTACGTTTGTTGACTGTTGATATAGGAGGTTGTTTAGAAAGCTTGGTATCGTAAAGCTGTCCTAAACTTAGACGAAGAACACGAACTTTTGGTTAATTGAAGCTTTTAGCAAGCAACGCGAATTCCCAGTCAACAGGACGAATAATGAATCACCAGCCTTTCATTTGTTGTATTATAACGACCCAGAATAATTCAAAATAACGATCAACGAAGTTGAATCATAAATTTGAATAACCAAGCTGAATGATCATTACACACAAGACACGGAGTTACATAAAAAAGATCGACGCGATCATTATATCTCGTGAACCAATTCACGGTGACATGTTACATAAACGATAGTTATGTTTTGGGATCAATAAAAGTTCTGGCCCGATTAGTACGAATGTGTTATAATTTACAGCGACGTGTTATATATAAAGAGATTTTTTGGAATTATAAGAAGTTTTGGCCAGTTGGGATTTTTCAGGGTCATCATTTCTTCTTGGCTGTTAAACGTTTTGTTAAAATTACTAATATTTCCGACATGTGTTACAATAGGAAGTTATGCCAGTCCGCTTATAGATGCTGTTTTACAATGAAACACCCATATCATTGAACTTCGTCATATACTTTTATTCCTTTTCAATGATGTTCATTATACGGCGAATTGATTTTTCGTTGTGATCTTCAATGTTTTGTTTCAGTGCGCAATGCAGGGAATCATTAAAAGAATTGCATTGGGTCCGCCATAAAATTTGTTTTTGAAAGTTTGGGGTCCACGGGTCTAAACCAGTGCTCCGCAACCTTTTTCTAACTTGCGGCACACTTATAAAACTTGCCAAATTCGACGGCACACCAAAACAAACTAAAAAAACAAAGCGTAACTTTGAATTGGTGTCGCTCAAGCTAACGTAAAAGCAGGTTAATTTTACGTTAGTAGAGTAGAGTAGTAGACTAACGTAATATTAACAAAAGATAAAAAAAAGTTGTAAAAAGAAGAGAAAAGTTGCAATTCCTGCCGTGGCACACCGGTTGCGGAGCACTGGTCTAGACTCTAGAGGAGAGGTCCGCAAATACGGGGTCGCGACCCATCATCTTTTGGCCAATCAGCATAAGTGCAGAATTTGACGCAACAATAAACAAATAAACAAATAAATTAACTAATAAATTAATAATAACAAATAAATTTAGAATTAGGTTGATATTAAATTTAAAAATAAAAGTGATGTTATTCAAGTAACGTATTTCTTACTTTTAGCCTACTGCAATTTTGTAGTTGTCAATTTTGAAAACCCGATGTCACGTAAATGTAAAAATGCCTGTAAAGCTTTTTTGCAATGTTGGGGTATTCAGATAGCAGTATTGCCCAAAAGATTGCCAAAATACTGCTAAAGATTGCTACCCTATAACTCGCAAAGACTCTTTTCAACTCATTATTGTTTAAAATTTCAATCAACTAAAGATGTTATTAGGACATTGTCCGTCTTTTGCGTCACGTTTCTGCGGACCGGTAGTAACCTTTCCGCGGACTGGAGATGGGCCGCGGCCCGGTGGTTGCCGACCACTGCTTTAGTCATTCAGACAGATTTTGTGAATTCATGGTTGTGAATATTACCTCGTTTTGTCGGTTCTCGCGTGTTATTTGTTAGATTTTAGTTGTGTTTTGGTAAATATAGGTCCTAAACTCGCAAAACCATTCTTGAAATGAGTACCAATAATTTTGCAATGGTAGAGTGTAAAGAGGAAGAATTTTACCGAGATCAAAAGTAGGGGAAACATTCGTTACTTAGTTGTTCGCATTGTTATATCCTACTACGTAGACTATAGGTTCTCAAAGTGCTCATTACGGAGCCTCAGGATTCCGTTAAAAACACTTAGGGGCTCCGCGAGCTATTCGTTCACTTGGAAACTCTCCTCGACTCACTGCCCTATCTCCATCTACTTACCTATCCTCAACCCACTGTCCGACCCCCCTCAACTTTCCTATCCTCGACCCACTGCCCTATCTCCCTCAACCTTCCTATCCTGGACCCACTGCCCTATCTCCCTCAACCTGCCTATCCTCGACCCACTACACCATCCCCGTAACCTCGACCCACTGCCCTATCTCCCTCAACCTTCCTATCCTCGACCCACTACACCAGTCCGGAATGCCACCAGGAACTGGTACAGAGGTACGTCCATTTATAACGGATACACCTCCTTTTTTATCGAAAATTTTAAAAAGGACAAGTTACCAGATTACATGGTCATCGACGGGAAAAGCTGCAAAACCTACCTGCCCAGGGAATTATACGTGCCAACCTGTGGTAGGTGTTTGAAATCCGGTCACAATTTCACCGAATGCGAAAGCGAACCAGTCTGTCGCTACTGCAAACAGCTGGGCCATCTATTAAAAGATTGTCCATCCAGAAGAAAAGAATTTCCATCCATTTCCGGATCTACATGGACCTTTTCAAGACGTCGAAAACAGCAATCAGAAAATTCACTTCATTCGGAACAACCAAGTAACCAAAATGCTTTACAATCTGCAACAGTATCGAATTCACAAAATGCTTCATAACCTGCAACAATTTTTGGATTTACAAAATGACTCACAGCCGGAACCAATTTTGGGTTTACAAAATGCTCCACAACCTTCAACAAATTCAGATTTACAAAACAACCAAAATGTCGTACAACTGTATTGACTATGGAAAATACAAATGACTTCGTCTTGGCGTTCTTCACCTCCACCGAATCATCTGACCTGAAGGAAGTCAGCAATTGGTCAGAGTGCGAGGATACCGGAAACACTCTAAGCCCTCTGTTAACTCCGCCTAACCAACCGCTGCTCAAACCAACAAGACAGTCGTCGAGATTGAAACAAACGTCGACGATAGGCAACACGCCTTTTCATCCTCCATTCAGAGGAAACCCGTACGTGAGAGTGATGGTTCACAATCTTCAGGGACAAGACAAATCAACATCATCCGTCTTCAACACCACACCTGATGAAAAATCCTCCGCCCCAGCAATTCTGGAATACAACAGATCAAAACCAACAATTGTGGACTTATCTGAAACAAATCTGGACAACTCGGACTCAGCAAATTAAAGAAGCCGCGAAGAAACATCATCAAACTCCTCTTTTTCAACCTCCTTGACATTCAGACTATCTGGCAAAAAGAAAAAATAAGAGTGAGTAAATTCGGACCCCATGAATCAAATTTCTATACTCTGGACTTTCCTTGCGGCCTCTAAACATCCCTCGTACAAATAACTGCCCAGTTGATGGCATAAAACTCAACTTAGATAATACCATCCCACTTATAGCGGATGTGATGAATGGAAGACTACCTCTTTATGTGGTATATGAAATGGTGATCTCTATGGCAAAGAGAATGGATCCATAAAACTTCCGTCGGCATAGTCTGGGTATGAAGGCACTTGGGCTGAATTCCAGACTTGTCGTTCTGATCCGTGAATGAAAAAAAATAAAAAAAAAAATTGAAAAAAAAAAAAATTATAATATTCAACCTAACTGCAACCTGCTATTTAAACCAAGTTGGACAATTTTGGTATTTTAGGTTTTGAGAGGTAATATTGATAAAACGTTTAGTGTAATGAAATATTGGTTGAAGCAAAACTGTCATTCAAGTCAAATAGCAGCATAAGGTAGCATTTCAGTATTTTTTTTTGCTGAAGGACATACACTATTGTAATGCAGAACAGTAGTATCAGGTATTCAAGCAAAGACGTAATATATAATAGACGTAGCAGTTGACTTCTGAAGTCGATTCTTTGATGGCTCAGCATACTTCTCTACTTTGATTTAAAGATTATTCGAGCTAAGAGTTACGTGGGGATGACTTTCATCGATATGGTATTTTTGGCATAAATACTACTGTAGCTTCCGCGCCACATTCGTTTTCATTATCTAGGTATATAAGTTTTCTGTGTTTCGTTGGGGCTCTGTCATACGGGCTAAGGAGATACGTGGTATCCCAATGATTTTTATTACCTGACTGGCAAGATTAAAAAATTTTAGTTACTTAAATATCAGTAAAATTATACGTTCCAATGGCTGACTGCCTTAACCATAAAGGTCTCGCATTTATGGTTAGGGAATTTACCTTAACCGAGTGCTGTTTTTTGTTTGACTTTGCTGTCGCGTTTGCATTGAATTAATTGACTTTACATTCACGTAATTAAACATACAGCGTTTCGCCCTATGTTTGACTATAGTTTAAAACTGATAAAATGTTTATGGCTTGAGTTGTATGGGGCGTATTGTCGTATATGTACAGGTATATGAATATTGTATTTTATTTTACACTATAGTATAATGGTTTTCCTTGCTGGGAAATATGCGCAATGCTCCAAATTACAGTGACTATAAGTATTACACGTATCGATATATTGGTGAAGTATGATGCTAACTTTAAAATGGCTAGTGGTGTTATTTGTAATATCTCATGAGTGTAATACGTTGTGTAAATTTTTGCTTATTTCATGATATACGTGCATATTGCGAGAATGTCTGATACAAAACAACGATGTGTAATTAATTTTGACTTGTTAGAATGTCGTAGGTGATTATATTGTTTGCTTAAATATGAACGCACACATAACCGATGATAGGTCGCAATACTGATAGGTTCAAAATGTTTACATGGCACTTTCACAAATTTTACCGTTTTAGACCAGCATACTATAGCAATGCTTTGTACAAATGAAGTAGGTAATAAACGAAATTCGAGAAATTGAGATACAAGACTCATCAACATTCAGGTACAGCAGTTTTATTCATTGCTTTAGTTACCCGCGCATTTTTCACGCTTTTTACGTTTTTCGTAGGCGCAGGCAGGTTCGGAACGCGCGCGGAACACAGTTTGGGAAGCGCTGGTCTAACAAAACTAGAAATCTCTGGGAGAATAGTTCGTTTGCCCGCATATATTGGATAAATACATATATTGGATAAATATCAACAAAAAATTGAGTATTTGCTTCCTCAAAATATCAGATTGTATGCAATGTTAGCCGGAGCCAGTAAAGATCTCGGACTTCATCGTTCATGGTCTGAATACATCGAATTTGGAAGCGCTCAACGAAAACTCAGGAGTCATACTGTTAAACTAATATTTATACAATATATACGACGATAACGATAACGTGGTGTGTTTAATGACCCGAGAAATGAGCTAGGATTCTCAAACAGTCAAGAAATGATAAAGAATATGCCAAACGTAAAGGTACTGGAATGTATTTGAATGTCTCCTCATTATTCAACCGTTGGATATGATGTTAATTCAAGTAACCGCAACCTGCTATTTGAAACAAGTTGGACAATTTCGGTATTTTTATGTTTTGAGCAGTAATATTGATAAAACGTTTAGTGTACTGAAATATTGCCTGATTGCTTAATGCAAAAATACTATTCAAGTCAAGTAGCAGCATAGGATAGCATTTCAGTAGATTTTTTTCAAGTCATACACTATTGTAATGTAGAACAGTAGTATTAGGTATTCAGGCAATGGCGTATTATAGGATAGACGTAGTAGTTGACTTCTGGAGTCGTTTTCTGATACAAAAACAACGATGTGTCATTAATTTCGCCTTGTCAGAATGTCGTAGGTAATTAAAAGTAAGCCGATATGACGGCTTAACCATATGACGAACCACGGCCCCTCGTCTGGTTACCATTTCATGTCAGGTATGGGATTAGTTAGTTATTTGTTTTCGGGAGCATACACTTGATGGTGAAGGAAGCCGTAACCGACCAGCGGTTACGTGGTCTAGCACATAACTATCCTCACATGGGATTCGAACCTGCGAACCCACGCAGAGTAATCAGAAGTGCGAGCGTATTCCTAACGCTTAGCACGATGACGCACGTAGGTCGTTTGTTCAAACATGAACGCAGACATAACCGCCAATACTGATAGGTTCAAAATGTTTACATGGCACTTTCGCAAATTTTAGCGTTTCAGACCAGCATACTACAGCAATGCTTTGTACAGATGAAATAATTATTGCACGAAATTCGAGCAATTGAGATACAAGACTTACCAACTTTAGGTACAGCAGTTTTATTCATTGCTTTAGTTACCCGCGCATTTTTACGCTTTTTCGCGTCTTTTGTAGGCACAGGCAGGTTCTGCACGTGTCCGGAAAATTCCGCCGTAGGAAATCTCGCCGTAAGAAATCTCGCGGTAGGAAATTTCGCGCATAGGGAAAAAAAAGTCAAAAGCATTTTGGTATTGCGATAAGCATTTATGATGAAAACAGTTGGGTTTTATGCTCCTAAATATCGAATCTTATTTAAATAGGGCGATTTTTCATGCGGCTATTATTCCTATACAGCGAAATTTCATGCGGCGAATTTTCCTAGAATCGGTCCTGTACATCTACTGTATCTACTGAACCTTGGTTCTTAAAAGCTAGAGCATTATAATTAAAAACGTTGATATCACGGTTTACAGAACTGGAGCACAAAATCCATGCCCCTGACTGCCCTTATTACGTTCTTGTGTCATCAATAGGAACAGTCGGTAATATCGTCTATTTTTTGTAGGTTTGTTTGTTCATATTGAATCCTTCAATAGCCTTACTATTATGCATTTTTTTAATATGGTATGTGAATATATTTGTATTCATTTTTAGCTTTGTTTGTATTCATTCACGGTTTTTAGATTTTCTTTACTTGTTCCTACGACAAGATTGCTTTCATTCAGTCTATTTTTAAGGGAAAATTGTATTGCCTAGTATGCTCAATCATCAATCTAACATGAAGCCTTCAGAAATTCGCTTCAGTCAAGACGATATTGGGCCTAACTTTTCCTCTAATGGAAAAAAAAAGGTTAATGACGTCATTCATGAAATCCTGCAAGGAGAGACTTTCGTTTCCGACTTCCCTCCGATCTCTGTTTGGTACAAAAACGGTTCATGGTATTCGGAAAATAATCGTCGTCTGTACATGTTTAGAGTCTTGGAATATAAAGGAAAAATATCGGATATAAATGTAACGGAGGTAAACAATGCTTTATGTTTGGATACACTTATAAAGGCAATGGAATTGCATCATTTCATAAGAAAGTCATAGTAATGAGCCAAGCTGTCTTTAACAAATTTCGATAAGCTTTTTAAGGGTATTTTTTCTGAATTTCTCACGTTTTATTCACAAAAGCAATTGCCTCACTTCGTACCTTTAACCTTCAAGATGAAGATCACTTCTCTAGTTTCATAATTTTTAGCCATTCTATAGATGCTACTTTGAAGCTCACAGTAGCCTTTATATGCCGGTTGTGGCATGCGTGAAGGGGTAGTGGCTTCACTTTGTTTTGATTGATTTAATTTTGATTCAATGGCAATTAAAAACGTAAGTCAAATATTACGATATTCGAAATTTATTTGGCAGTACTGGATATTGAATTCGAGGCCATATAATAAATATTCCTTTTTATTTGTTTGGTTTATTCCTTTATTAATTGTTCTGGAATTGCAAACTAGGAATAGTGCGAACCCATGCTAATAATCACGGTGTAGGGTAAATTTTTTTTACCATCATTAAATTTCCTGACAGGACGATCCCCCAAGATGGCGCCCAAATACGTCGCGTGATGATGGAGACAGTATCCGATTGCGTGGAGGAGCGCAAACATATCCTCACAGCATTGAAGAAGTGAGTATCACGAATGTTTACCAAACAAAATGCCTAACTATTGCTGCAACAATATTAAACGCGTGTACGTGAATAGAAACCACTTGTATACAGTATACAGTTCGAGAATTCACGACCTTCAGGCAGTTTTCCATACCAGTCAACAAGGGTCACATATGCATCTTTTTCCGTTTTCTTTCAACCCAAATTTTAAATGGACTTGTGCAATTTGTAATGACGCCCTATTATTCTTGAAAATACTTGGAGCCTTTGGCTTTGACAGCGTATATTTACAGCAGAGACAATAATTTATTTTTAGTCTCTCCCAGGTTAGTAGGTGTATTTTGAAAAATTCAAGTGCCAGGTCCATTATTTCCTAAGCTAAGAGCAACGCAATAAATAAATACAATTGAATAGAAAAAAGAGGAAAATGAAAGAAATGGGGGGAATATAGTTTTCTATCATTCATTACTGCGGTTTCCAAATTATAATTGAATTTCGTTGTTGCTATATCCTATATATGGGATTCATGCTAATATTAAAGTGTTTACCTAGTTGAGTATTTATTGAAATTATTCTGGTAACGCCTAAAATCGTTTCAGATACGCAATGCTAAACGGAGCAGGGCAATGCCTTTACATCGGGATCACGGAAACGTCGGAAGTCATCAGGGAAGGCAAGAAGTTGTCGAAAGCAACCAGGGGTGAGTACAAGTTGTTGAACCAATGAAAAAATTGAAAAAAAAACTTTTTAAAGCGGTACATTTACATTTACAAGTACAATCAAATATTGCTTCATGTGTTGGCGCAGTGATGTGGCTCATCGTGCTAAACGTTAGGAATACGCTCGCGCCTCTGATTACTCTGCGTGGGTTCGCAGGTTCGAATCCCATGCGAGGATAGTTATGTGCGAGACCACGTGACCGCTGGTTAGTTACGGCTTCAAGTGCATGCTCCCGAAAACAAATAACTAACTAATTCCATACCCGACATGGAATGGTAACCGGACGAGAGGCCGTGGTTCGCCATATGGTTAAGATGTCATCTCGGCTTTCCTTTCCCCTGCGATAAATATGTAAAACTATCCTATCCTAATTACGTGGCTTGCGTAGGTTCTAATTCTCTGAAATGCGCATCCGCGAGTGTTTCTCTCTTCACCCTGCAGTGATTTACATAAACCTATTTCACATCTGGTGGCGGGTCCCCCTATATTTACGCCCTACCTTTCCTAAAATGTTGCTGTCTACCTAACTGATAACGGACTTAAATTGGTAACCAGGAATAAAATGTGATGTTGTTGATTTTCCTCTCCTTGTAATAAATATGCCGTTTTTATTGTTACAGGTTTGGTTGGGGAACTGCTGCATTGATGGGAGGGGCACTACTGGCGGCCGGAGCGGCTGCCATGGCGTCGTCAAATAGAGAAAATGTGAGTGTCGAATGACAAGTAGTCCGTCATTAGCTTGCTTGGAAATTTTGTTCCTTCCAAAGATTTCATAAATATATCGTAAATTATTTAAAAACTGGGTAAAAGAATCATGAAACAAGCCAAATTAATTTTGAATTGTTATTATGGGAAATATCATTTGAGATAATATACAATTAAATGCTGATAAATTCGTCATTTTCCACGTGATATTTTTTATCCATTTAATGCATTCCATGCTCACAAACTACTATCACAGACTTGTCTTGTCGGTGTTTGAAAGCGTTAACCTCTTTTCTAGTCATGCATAGTTAACCTACAATACATATTTTGTTTTATAAAATAGACAATTTGCATCAAATATATCGTTTCAAATTCATTACGAATGATTCATCAAAAGTTTGTGTTTGAATAGGGAACAAGACAAGTTAGATATTACTGCATTTCAATGACCCCCGTTTTGTTCTTCCCAAGGCTAAATGACTAACGAACACTGAAACTGAACCAAGTTCGCGAGCCCTCAGGCAAAACCACTGATCCTACATACCAGAGATATTTCTCAATTGACGCCTGTATAACTTCAATTCAATATTTTCAACAACATACATAGTATTAGGCAAAATATATTTGACACATATTTATTGACGCACATTTGTTTAACAGAATCAAAACGACAGACGTCGTCAACAACCGCAACCGGAGAATCCGAAAAATGAAGATTGCGCCACCCAGTGATATAAAAAGATTTATTTGAAAATAATTTTGTTAAATATATTTATAAGATATACCGTCAATGGAATTAATTGTAATTAAAGTAATTAAATTAAAGTCCCTTAATTCAATTAAATGGTAAAAATATAGTGGAATTTGATATAGATGACGCTTTCAAAGTTAGGATTCCGTTAGAAAAGTCGGACTTCGCTCCCTCCGCGAGAAATCAATTGGTTTTGCCAAGCCAAACTACGTTTCCGGACATAACAAATCTCTCAATAATAAATAACTTACTTCTTACGTCCATCTATACGTGCGACGGTTCCTGATTGGAAACGTACGCGTATAGGTTCAAATAATGAGCAATCGGTTATTGATGACAAGAGCAAAACGAAGATAAAGTTCAGTGCAAGTCTAGGGAGAAGGCAGGATTTTTTAGTTTCGTCACAAAACTGAGATTTGGACATTATTTTTAAGGCATTGCACTTCATACAAGACTCATACAACTGGCGGCTGCTAGATAATATAAAAATTTTCAGCCCGAATTCGAAGAGCTGCAGTCGGCCACAAGCAACAGCAGCACATAATAGCGTTTTAGTTGCCACTTTCCTGCTGCAAACAAAGTTTCATTTGTGTTGCAGAAAATGCGATTATCTCAAATCTTTTTTTCTGCGGCGCGGAGTTCCACTATGTCTACGATTGTAAGATTCAGATTGCTAGGTGACATCGTATCTTTAGACGGCCACTCAATTTTTCTGTTCATCTTTAAATATGTTATATACTTTTTAATGAGTATTCCTTGTTGGTTTTTGTATATACTCGGGACTGGGGCCAAGCCCCCAATTATAAGTAGGAAGAGTAATGATATGCGAATTGCAGAAACCACCGATGTATCAGAACTCATACAGCATAGGATACATATACATAGAACCAGTGATGAGCTGTAGCCGGAACGCACCGGCACGGCGTTACGGTTGTTGGGCATTTTAGTGCATTTGCGTTGTTAAAATAAAATTATGGTAGAAAAGACTAGTTTCTCTGGTTAAACTAGTTAGTAATTTATGTTATGTTACATTATAATTCGTAATTCTTTTTACATAACATCACACAAATTAGTACAGAAGTAAAGTGTAATAGATATATCTCCGACATTTGACCCCATGGAAATTCATCCGATACCGCACCTTTCTAAAAATAACATTTGTATTGAATTGCTATAAATATTCTTGTAATTCTACACAGACATATTTCAGAAAATTTCTTCATATTTCATTGCAGTTCTTCGACTTTATCTTAAGACAGTAAAAACATTCTGTAAACGTCCGCGTCGTGTTGTTATATTACATTTTTGCGAATTAAGTGCGTTCCGGTTGTTACGATTTTTCCAGCTCATCACTGCATAGAACCATCCTTTCGACAGAGTTGTTGGCGGTAACTCAAAACAACTTTAAAATTTTCTAGTCAAGTTGTAAGATTTTAAAGCTAATTCGAATGTCAAGGCCAGTGTATACTTTTGCTGCAAAAAAATTATATACACTCGTATAAGTAGCCCGAGATGTTCAAGCCGCTTTTTATTTTGAGATAGCATGTGTCTTTTCATTATGCCAATGAACATTATTCTATTCAACATGCTACCAAGCAACATGCCTAAATAATGCCACTTTGGCTAGAATAATCGCTTTATTGGCAAAGTGCCTGTTTTAATAAACGTCATACAAAAGCGAGTAAAACTAGTGTAATGATTAATAACATGCTTCGTCCCGGAGCCAAGAAAAGAATATTTATATCAGAATCCATTTATCATTTAAAGACAGCATAAAATTCATACGAGTTTCACATTCGTGAGGTTTATGATTATTACTGTCATATAATGCAATCTGACATGTAAAGGTATATATACAAAGTGCAAATTATGATAACAAATTAACAATTAAAGTAAGCTTCTAGGGTTGAAACAAGTACCATCGTTGAGTGCTTTTAAATGCATCATCAAATTAGTTGCTTTTAATTCGTTTGATTATATAATGATACACCTTAATCTCGAGGGATGATTTAATTTCCCAGTTGGGCAATTTATATTAGAGCATGGAAAAATTTGAATCTAGTGTTGTCACATGTTTTATTCTCATGCAAATATTTTCACAAAATTTTAATTGATAGATAATGAAGTCGACATACTTGAAAAACAACGATCTATCTACCCACTTAATAATGACTAAACAGGGAATGAAATGAGCTAACCAAATTTTCGTTCGTGGTATATAGTTCTTACACAAAGCGATCACCGGCATGCTCTTAGTGCTCACCTGAATGATATTATTACGCAATCGTCAATTCAATATCAAAGATCGATTTTTTTTTATATATGCATTTGCTAGTTAAATATTCATTCGATTGAGTAATAACCTATTATTACATAGCCTCTACATGTACTAATGAATTTCAAAACTGCGGTATAAAAAAAAGTGCCAATCTAGAATGCGATTTTAGCGTCAAAAATCTACATCGGTACGTGATCTCACTTGCTTGATGTGATCTCAATCGCATACCAAAACCAGTTGTGGTGTCAATTTTTGTGTGGTCAATCTCATAAAGACATTCTCGTAGAATTCAAGTTACAATCGTAGTGTGTGTACCAGGTTAGGTTTACGCGTTAGGGCATAATTTTATTAACTTTAATTGTATTTTCCTTTTTTTTAGTTCTATTGGGAGTTCAGGGACTGCCTGTGTTAGCCAAGTAAATATACCCATGCCCATAGGTTTCAGTCCTTTTACACAACTTGATGTATAAGGGGCAAACAAAATTAGTTACCTCCATATTGGTATGCATACATCTGTAGAGCCGAATTCAGTTCCTAACCCCAACATCGTTGGGTTTGGGTTAGGTAAACACTGATATCATTGAGTTCACACAACAGCGCATACGAAAGTGAAAGAACTTATGTAGCCGCAAGTTTACATTCATACTTGGAAGTTTTTCGCATTCGAAATTTCTATGTTATAAGGTGTTGACTTGAGTTGTCTTGATTATCGTGCATATATCTATTGCATCTCCGTCGCGAGCATAAATCAAATCACTGTAGCATTGTTCGTATATCTATCTTCTAACAACTCCTTTCTACATTTAGTTCAGTACTTTGTATTATGAGACTGACTTTTACAAACTTGTAGGAATAAACCTTCGGTCAAAATAAAGATAAAATTCTGGAAATATACTTTGAAGATATGAATTCGTAATTTAAAAATACGTCCAATTTTTACTCTGGAAATTCATCATCTTACAACGTAACTGAAGTAAAAGAATATAATAAAGCGATGGATAAAAGCTTGGTTTCTGAAATAGTTTATATATTCAACGCATTGGTCATGACGTACATTATCATCACGCTCACCATCGACATCAGACGTCGCAAGAACGTTCCGGGAAAAGAAGTTTCGAAAAATCTTGGCACTGCAATTAAAATAGTTCGGTATATATTCGCATAGGATTTATTATTAGTAGCCATTCATTCAGGCGTAGAAAAATATGTAGTGAAGATGTATTTTCCGGAATTGTGTTCAATATCGCACTTCATGTATGTTTTCTGTACTTCAACTGCATCGATTTTCAGCTACCTAATTTTATGAAGCACCTTTATGACAAGCGATGAAGCACCTGACAACATGTTCCACAAGATTTTTGAGCATTGCGTCACTGATTCTAGTAATTTCTTTGCCTTCAACTTTAATATTTCTGGGTCCCATAAGTTCTGAAATTGGAATGACCGAACGTGGATGTGGAATTGTTAGAATTAGGGTAGAAATTAACAATGGCTTATTGGATTAGTTATGGCGTGTGGACAATTTTCACCCAAATGGTTCTGCTTTATTTATTTTATTTGCTTCCAATATTCAAGCATGAAGAAAATGCCGGCAATGCTTCTCGTGAGTTGATGCCGGTGTTGAAAAAAGCAGCAATCGCAGCTTCCCTTTGCGGGCTATTCCGAGTGACACTACAGGACAATTCCAGAAATTTTGCATGTTGTTGGATGCAATATATTTTTACATTTTCAGCTACATGTTTTGTTTCATTGTCCAATCAATTGCTTTATTGAATACGGAAAAAATTGCACAAAAGTTACACACAAGACTTACTTAGTGGATAGAAAAAATAACGTAAAATATAGCGTGACACTACAGGACGGCAAATCCACCATGCATTAACGTTACATTGTGTTGTGCTGTAAATTTTTGCGATGGTACAGCAGGACCCCATAATATTTTCTGGTGCAGTAGCTGAGGGACCCCTCTATGTGTTGCTCAAGTTACTTAAAGTAACACTGTAAATCCATCTCAATAATGTGCATATCGTATGTGACACTACAAGACATTTTTCCACTTCGGAACAGCGGCCTCTATCATCTCTTAAAATTCTGGTAATAAATCATTAAATGGGTGAAGACATGTCCTACAGCACTGCAAACATTTAAATGTTATTAACTTAAATCCAGTGCGTCTATTTCATATGAAATACCTGTATCACACAATCAAACATTTTGTGTCACGAATCATCACAAAATATGTCAATTACACAAAAATTTCTACATTTCAGGCCATTTTCTAAAAACCATCAAAAACTTGGGTGAAATTTTAAATTTTTCGGTGAAATAGATGCAGTCCAATAAAATTCCAATGTCTTTTGATATGAAAAATACAAAAAAAAAAAATTCTTTCACTACACTTTTAATAAAATTGATGAAATTCAACCTTTGCTTGGAATGGCCCTTGCTTTCTGAGCGATACAATGGCGTCCATTTTTATTGTTTCGATTTTCTCGAAGCTCGCATTGCTGGCGAACCAAATTTTCAATCTCATCATGACGATTATGGCGTTCGTCGACTGGAAACAGATGCTACTGCCGTTTTGTTTTATAGATTCAGTTGCCAGCAATTGATTTCGAAAATTCCCAAAACAGGATTGTGAAATCGATTGTCGTTTATGCTGGTATTGGTCGGAGTTTTTTTTTTCAAACAAACTGAAAGGCTCGGACTTGAGGGAATTTTTACCTGTACCCGAAAAACTTCAAAATCAGCATCATTTTTGAATTCAGTTGTTTTTCAAG